AATTCTTAGCTTGGATTCTTAATTCTCTTTAATCAAAATTTGATGAATGACGCTAATTTATCACAGTATATTGTCACTATAAATATCTTGATTACGAAATCTTGTTATTTTTATGATAACTCACAACTATTACCATGTAACTCACAACGGATTCATGAATTTCAATATCTCATAGCTCCAAAATAATTATGCAGATTCTTGTAAAAAAAGATTGATTCTCTCACATTTGATTGAAAAATTTGCAGAAAGGACAGCAATTCCTGGGGTTCTACGACACCCTCTACATACATGCATGTATACATAAAGAATGTTCAAATGCAAACATAACGATCGGCCGATATTCGATATCGCCAATGAAACCTTCAGTTTATGACTCCGCGGAGTCGATATAGCGCTATTATGCCGACGTCTTTCTTTTCTCGGACAATAATAATTCGCGTCTGGGTCGAGATTATAACGACGGTGCGCGTTTATTTCAATAACGAGGCGCGATAAACGTTTGTCCCGTGACTCGCAATTCAAATTAATTATAGACGGAGAAGCCGAGTTCGGACGAACTATATAGTCATCGGGAAAAACGAAGAATACGTCGCTAAATGGCGCAAACCGCGCTCAAAATGGCAGAATTATGAATATTCCACTCTATAAATCGGTTACAAAAATGTTATATTTTAAATTTTCAGATCTTCTGCCATAAAATAAACACGATTCAAAATTAATCTTGCACTATCGTTTAATTCTGTACCCTTTTTTTAGTCTGCGTGAAAAGTCTGCAACTTACAGCTCAAAATATTATAAATGCTATATTTGTCAATTGCTGTAAAGGATCTCCAGACTTTATTAAAGTATTAATAAATGGACCATAGTGTTCTCGTAAATAAGTAACTTAGATTACTAATTTAGCCAGGCTGAATTGCTAACTATAAAATAATTAAAAAGCTGGCTGTATTTCTAGATTACCATCGCCCTTAATGATTTAGAAAAGTTGTCCAATAATTTCAGTACATAAATAGCAAATATCTCGAGCACGCAATTTCGCTTGCACGTAATTAATTGAGCATTAATTTTGTGATGCAAGAAACATTCGTTCGTTTACGATATTGCGACGATGGTATTTCATCACAGCGACGCTTTCCGTCTACGACAATGTTGTGACGATCCAATTAGAAGCGATGTGTTGATCGGTTGATCGATAATTACGAACGACTACAGGACAGATCTTTATCTCTTGTCCCAAGTAGCCAGACTGCAAACGCATAACCTTCGGAGTGAATAAATTCGAACCGCACCCCTTCTGCCGGTAGTCTCCATCCTCTTCAGCCCCATTACCCGTGACTCACGTTACGGGGGTGGTTTCACCCCCGACTTGGCTGGCGATGTGCCCAATGCAGTCGTTGTCTTCTTATCGTCAAGGTTGCGCGAGGAATATGAAACTTTGTAGCAGCGATGCGCGACGTAACTTGATAAATTGAATAAAAGAACGTGAATATTTCCTCTTTGTAAAGTACATCAGATAAATTAAAATTTATTTGAGTATGTGTCAAATACTTATAAAAAAAGATTTATAATTCTTTACGTGATGGCTAGAATAATTTCGATACTGTAATATAAACGGCACAATTACGAATTTGTTTCAATAAAGTTTTCGCAAAGAATGAAAAAAGAAAAGAAGAAATGTTACGAATATAAATATGTACTTGTACACAAAGTGTCTCGAAATTCGCGAAACAAAGAATCACAGTAAAAAAGCTTTCAAAAAATTAAGTAAAAAAGTTATTTGTAAAGTTACTTTTATTTTAAGCATTTGTGAAATAATAAGGGTTTAAATGTAGCCAATTATAGGCTTCCTTTAAACGGATAACGCTGAAGTGCGCGCTCACTAAATAAATCACACGCGCGATTTATGGACAGGTAACAGGTCTAAACGTAATCTGTAATTGGCTACATTTAAACCTCTATATCTCAAAACTACTGTTTGAAATAAAAATGTACACGTAACTTTTTTCTTTAATTTTTCAAAAATCTTGCTACAAGATTTTAATTCCGCAGCATTCTGTATATATATCTGTATATATACATATACATAAAAATTATAAGTAAAAAATAATTACCCAAATAATTACTCAACTTAAAAATAAATTATTTTTACACGGATTTATTCGCGAGACGTGAGGTATCGGTACATTTTGATTTCATTACGTGCGTCGTACAAAAAAAAAATACATGGAAAACTAGAGTAAGAAAAATGAACAACGTCGAGATAGGAAAGTAAAGGTCGTCATCAAAAGGAAGACAGAGAAACAACTGACGCAGGGAAACTAAATAATAATAAAATGTATTAAAAGTCGTATACATTTTGGATATATACGCGTATTATATGTACACGCGGCCATGTTATATATGTATATAAATATATATAATATATATTTTATATATATATATATACATATATGTGTATATATATATATATATATGTATATAAATAACTATATACGTATATTTTTATATTTTTGGAACCGACAACGGTAGATTACACCTATGGTTACTATGGCAACATAAAAATTGTACAGAGCGGCCGATGGCAACCGCGTGTAAAATTCGTCGCGCGATCCAGAACGTAAATAATTGAATGAGAGAAAACGCACGGATAAAAATTAAAAAGAAGGGAGACAAAGAGAGGCTTTGATATCGCGCTTTAGCATCGCGAAGAATAAGCGGAGTGGTAACTCCGTACACTACTCGAACCACACTCGTAATACACACAGTACTCTCATTTTTATTGACAATTAGTGTGACAAAAAGGTGGCTTATACAAATACTTATAAAGATACCTCTTATCGATTTCTCTACGCCACTCCTCAATGTCGCCTATCGAATACTCTTCAATATCCGCGGAAAAAAATCCTTCATTTCCAGCATTTGCACTCCTAATTTACATTCTTTATCCTCCCCTTCCTTTCGTGTGAACGCGATATCGCTCACTTCTTTTCCTCTCTTCGATCATTGGCGTGATATGTGGACACTAATTGTAAAGACATCTTTACTCCCACTAATTTACAACATTACGTGTGTATGTTTCCGTTTTGGCAAAGGTTTCTAAACCGTCTAAGACACACGGTTAACGCATTTAACACATTCACTGCCACGTCACTACATGTCAGTCATATACGAATAATACTTCTTGTTATTGAGAGCGTCCCATCATTCAAATACGAATGACACGAAATTTTCGTAATAAGTTATTCAATGATATTTTATAGTAAAAGAGTATAAGTTACAAAAGAACGATGCGTTTTTGGCAATCTGAGAATTGGGTATGAATTTGAGTGTCACTCACATATGAATGATGTGGCAGTCAATATGTCAAATTGTATGAGGCAGTTTTCGTTTTTCAGTTCTTTTGCTTGTGCTCTGCGCTCGCAACATCTCGTAAAGAAATACAGCGGGCAGTGATCCAAAGATTGCCCGTACCGTACGCTTTATCTATGCATTTCCATCTTTATCTGAAGTTCAAAATAAAAAATTTCGCGTTATTGCCTTGTAATAATTCTTACAGGGGCTACAAGATCCCTGAGTCACGATAATAAATATATTACCTAAAATTTCTTCAAATCGCGTCATACAAAATTTATTTATTCATCACGTCCGATCGTAGTTCGCTTACGAGATGCTGTAAAATTTTCCGATTCCGCTTTCTCTCTACGATTTCGGTTTCCGGTTAACTAGAAAAGGTTCTGGATTAACGATATTGCTAGTGACTGACATCGTCACGCGTATAATACGTACTTAAGGGCTGTTACTTCCGTTGTATCTCGCGCGTAATCTCGCTTGGGGACTATTTCTAGATCATCGGGGTTTACATAAGAATTACATACGCGCGCGTGCATAATTTTCCTCTACTTACTATGCTTCGGGGGATGGAGTTCGTAGATTTCCTTTTACGCTCGTTCGCGCTCGAGGAAGGGTCTCTCGCCCTTTTACATGCTTACGCTGTCACGTCGTCCGCCCTTCGAGACACGTGCGCGAAGGAGCCGATCACCACGCGAAGTACAGTGAAAATAAAAAAAAAAACGTCGCGTCTCTTACTCTCCATTATTATCAGTTCCGCACGACGGTGGCGAGCTGGTGGACCGTGCGAATGCAACAAGAGAGAGCGCGACACGCTCTTACTTATACGATATAAAAAAGTTTCGAACTAGTACACCAACATGTGTTAAAATGACGTGTGATCTCTTCGCGAGGCAGACCTATGTATAGAATATATTTGTATTACGCATTTCTGTGGACGCGTATGAATCTAGTTGCGCGACGATTATCCGCTCGTGGCAGCGATAACGTTCAATTCCACTATTGTGAAATTAAGATTTAAATCTGTCAAAATTATCGATCAGTGTTGAATAGCATGTTGTGTAACATAAAATTATAAATTTATTAACTTAGGAAATTATGTAACATATTATGTATATGATTCGAGATAATTTACAAATGTTTATAAACTAAAAAAATTTCAACAGAATAAAATATATGCCGGATCTCGTCAATCTACCTCGAATTTTTTCGTTAGCAGAGATGAGATTTACCGAGTTTTAACAGTTCAATCGTAAGTTAAGAAGCAATTTTACAAATTCTGATTCTGATTAATGGAATTCTAATTGAACAAAATAAAGGATACATCTGATGTAATTGTTCAACAAACTGGAAATTGAATACTATCTTTGAGAAAAATTGGCGAAAACGGCGTATACCACGTATCGCATAACGCGGACTAATGGACTTTTCCGTCTGCATCTCGAATGCGACGAGTTTTATCTGATAACTGCTCGTGAAAGGAAATGACAACATTTGCCACAAGCGTGATCGTCTTTTGCGCCTCAATACCCTATTAATGAGTCTGGCGACCGTTTTATTTACAGCATCGACTAACATCTAAGAACAGTATTTACAGTTGTCCATCCTGCCTAATTTGTTACTTTAGCGCTTATCCTGTACACTGGTTTTTCCTTCATTGCATCTATTGCGGTGGCGGCCTACTTTCAGTTGAAGCTACTTTCACGATTTCGCGACCCTTCGATCGTGAAGGGTGGCAGTGATAAAGAATTAGTTACAAGAAGAGGGATAGCTTTCAGCTCGCGATATCGAGAGATCATGGCAGTTTTTCTCTCTTCTGGGAAAGGGTAGGCAAGGGAAGGGAAACAAAGTAGGCTGCCGCTTTTTTCGCGTACGCATCGCGTATTCGTGTGTGCATCCCCCAACATGGCTCTTTAATGGCTAGATTAGATAAATAGACGAGACGATACACGTTAGACGGACACGTTGACGGGCTTTACGAGCACCGCCTTACAAGAATGTAAGAAAGATTAGAGAGAGACAGATAGATATGGATAGAGATAGAGAAATCAATCGACATCGTTCACCGTTCATCGTATGCACGCACATACAACATTCTTGCGTACCACTCATTGAATCTTCCTTCTAATCACAATTTCACTATACCGCGACACTCGAGTGATCCTCCCTAATCATCGATAATATCAAAATGCATCGCTTCGTTCCATCAATCAAAATTCAACTTTTTCGTAGGGCACACATTTCTTCGATTCGACTGGCAAGATGAAGGCGCCGAAGAAATCGCCGATCCGAACTGAAGAGAGGATTCCTTGAGATTCCTTCGCGGAAGAAGACACGTACAGGCTAATACGTATATCGGGTAATCAAGAAGCACCGCGGCCGCTCATCGTCCATCGCGCAAAGCATGCGCCCCCCGGTTGACATTAAACCCCGCCACGTCGGGCCGCTGAATCGTTCATTGCCTTATGCGCACCTCCACACACACACACACACACACACACATATACACACACACCGCGTGTGATATCTTTCATACTTCGGTAGCTTGCGTGTAGGAAGGCGCGATGCCATGCGCCGGCGTCAGCGGCCCCGTCGTGGACGCGAGCGACCTCCTGGAGTAGATGGTCGCCGCCGAATGGGGCGTGTGCGGCGCCGTATGCGGCGCCGGGTGCGGCGTCGCGTTGTGCCTGCGCGAGGCCGAGGCGAAGGGCTAGATGGGCCCGTAATTGCTGAGGGCGGAAGGCCTCTCTTGCTGCTGCGATTGCTCGGCGCATCCAGCGGTATTCATGTCGCCCCCCGCAGACTGGTGACGTCATACGTGCGAGAGCGGGGGCTGCTTGAGTACGTGGTGATGTAGGTGATGCTGGGACGCGCTGGCGACGCTTCCCGGGGGCAGCAGAGCGCTGCCCGGACCCGGCGCCGATGGATACGGCATCGCGATCCCTCGGCCCACGATACCTCCTTTGATACCGATACTGCTGCCGATACCGCTGCCGACGCCGGTTACACCGGCCACCATCCCGGCACCGGCGCCCATGTGGCTGCGATCGCCGCCGAACAAACGCCTCCATAGTCGTTTCCAAGAATCGACCGTCTTGCCGCTCCAGATCCAGACTCCTGAGGTAATGCCGACTGCGAGAGCCATGAAATATTTCAGCATTAGGATGGAGTACAGCGGTCTCGTCCGTGGATGACAGGGACAGGCTAGAGAACTCAGCCACTCGTCCCGTAGAGCTGACTCGTACATATGACAGCCTAACACCACGCTAGCTGGCAACGTGTAGAGAACGCTAAACACGCCGATCCGTATCATCAGTTTTTCCAATTTGTCCGCCTTGGCTCCAGGCTGGCGTTTGATCACCGATCGAATTCGGAAGAGGCTGACGAAACCGGCGAGAAGGAAAGTCGTGCCCAGCAGAAGGTAGACGAACAGAGGTGCCAGGATGAAATTGCGCACCCCCTCGGGAGCAACTGTGCAAACTCCCGCTACCGGATCACCGGCGACGCCACCCGCGACATACGCCCAAACCGTTTGCACAGTCGGGGCCAGCCACGCCACTAGGTGGAAATATTGCGAATACGATGCTATCGCCTCGTTGCCCCACTTCAAACCTGCCGCGAGGAACCATGTGAATGCCAGGATCACCCACCACACTGACGAAGCCATGCCGAAGAAGTAGATCAGGAGGAAAACGGTGACACAGGCGCCCGGACCCTGAGCGCCCGATTTCAAAGCCGGACCGTCGCAGGCGATTTCCTCGTGGCCGAACACGCTCCGCGACAAGTACCCCAGGGATACGACGAAGTAGCAGGCCGAGAGGAAGACGATCGGTCGCTCAGGATATTTGAAACGCTGGGTGTCGATTAAGAATGTGATGACGGTCACGAGAGTGCTGGCGGCGCACAGGCCGCTCCAGAGCGCCAGCCAGACGGCCGCGAACTCGCGTTCTTCGTTGGTGAGGAACGCGCCGCGGCACGGTAGAGCACAGTTCTGCACCCCCGCGATCTCCTGAATGATACTTCGGCCGATACCTCCCATCGACGGCGGTGCCGGCGCCGGCATTATCCCACTTACGGCTATGCCGGCCAGACCAGCCCCCCCCGCGCTGGCCCCCCCGGTGTTGCCGGTCCCCCCGATGACGCTGCTGCTGACGGCGCTTATCGCTCCTGACATCCCCGAACCACCCGCCGCCCCCAGGGGCACGAGGGGCGCTCTGCATCTGCATGCGCAATCCCTCGTCCTCTCCCCCGGGGGGTGCTGGCAGTTTTTTTGATTCTTGCCCGGCTTACAGCGGGCCGGTTGCGAGGTCTTGCTGGGTCGCGTTGGTCGCGCTGGCGGCCCTGGTGGTCCTGGGACACCGCTGCTCACCGCGCCGCCGTTACTACCACCACCAGGACCTGTGTTACTAGTGCTGGTGTGATTATCCTGCTCCATGCACAGGTTCTCCGGATCACCGTGATACGGCAGACGCTCGCACGCCATTCTCTCCGGCCACGAGAAGCCGTATTGTTGCATCAGAGGCGCGCATCCAGTTCGCGCCCGCTCGCACACGCTGCGACACGCTGGCAGTGGTTTCGTGTACTCCGGCAGGCAGATCGGTGCATACATGGAGCACAAGAAGAACTTGAGATCCGCCGAACATTTGATCTCTACCAACGGCCAAAATTGGTGCACTTCCAAGCCGGCCTCATCCTGCGTGTCGTGATTCAATTCATTCGGCATGGCGGTAAGATTGTAGCCGATACCGCGGCACATAGGAATCGTGATCTCTTCGCATCGACCCTTCCCGTTGCCGGCGTTGCTGCCTCCGATACCGGAATGGCTGCCACCACCACCTCCTCCATTTATAACGGAATGGCTACCACCGACACTACCGCTGACACCTCCAACGCCGTTACCGCTTCCAACACCGCCAACCCCGTTGCCGTTGGAACTGGAACTGTCGGACACCACGCCGATCACCGACGATGACGACGAGGATGAGGAACTGCCGGACGAGGATGAAACTCCTGATCCTGAGCCGACGATACTACCCACCGGATTTATCGCTGATTCCGGTAATACATTCGAAAACGTCGCGGCGAACGCAAGTAACGTTAACAGACTCGTCATTGTTCGCGTAGGAAATAACTTGGTCCGTCGCGCGGGTCTTACACTCGAGGATGTTCGACTCATGGCTGCTTGGCTGGCATAATGGCAGTCTGCAACAGAAATTAAAGAGTACCATTTTATTATTAATGTTTCTACGGCAAAATTTGCATTTGGCAAAATTGCGAAAAGTATAAGGGCGCGATACGCGAGTGAAGCGTTAGATTTCTTTCAATACTTTTTATATTATATATATAAATTTGTATAAATAAATGAATTTTCTATATTTAATATTCAGTAAAACATGTATTCAACGTATTTATTAAATGCTTAGAAACATTAATAAATACATTAAATATATACTTTACATATATTTATTAAATAGAAAAAATTTGTTTAGTCATAATGAATCCATGTAATGCAGATATATACAGAAATACATTTATAGCAATAAGATTTTTTTATTGAAAATTTATAGCCATCTATATTTGATTCACCATATTGATTCGAGCTACTTAGTTTTCAATGATTACTTACAGTTTCCAAATATCAAGAGAGCTAACATCAATTCTCCCTAATAACTCATTCTGCGAATAACGCGAATCTCGCCGGACGAGGGAGTAGTATTTACCAGAGATAGAGTATTCATCACGTTTCAGAGAGAGACTGGGCGTTCCGAGTAACTTCGAATTTAATCCCGAAACGAGAAGCGCGACTCTGCCAAGAGTCGGTTGGCGGAACGTATGCACGAGTCTTGCTTCGCTTGCAATTCGGACTACCAAAGCTAGCGCACGGTGCACGGTTTCAGTAACTCCGGGGCGAGCCGCGCCGCGTGTATTCGCTCTTTCGTAAAAGAGTCCGAGTCCAGCGATCGATGCCTAAATAGCCGGCCGGCGCGGGATGCGTCTGGCCGCTCGCTCTGAGGCTCGCTCGCTCGCTCGTCCGTTCGGTCGACCTTAACGAGCAAGGGCGTAGCGTTCGAATGTCTCGTACATAAATCAACGTCGGTGCTTCGATCGCTAGATACCCGGTTTCGAAACCGGTACGCCTCTCGCAGAGCTGTGGGGTGTCCAGCTCGAGAGCCTGGATAAATTCACGAATAACAAATAACCAATGAGGAATAGAATCTTACTCGTGAATAAGGATAACTCTATTCGAATAAAACCTTTCTGTCGTACTACCAATAAATATCGCACTCGAATAAAATTTCATTTAAATTCATGCATTTAGATCGTAAACAATTTAAAGTAGGGTATGAAGAATTTTTGTTTTTAATTTACAAAAACAAATTGCCACTTTATTAACTTTTATTGGTATTTTATTAAATTATAGAATTTAATTTTTATCGTTTCCACGAGATAGAAGATAAAACTAATATTTTTTATATATACCTATCAGTGGTTTTCAAATATTTTAAATATTTTGTTTGCGTCAGAGTTGTCATAACTTCCTCATTCTAAATTCTGTAACTGTGCTCTGATTTTCAGACAAAATTTCATAATTTCGTTTTCTCTGATGTTTTCAATAATATTTTGAAATGGTTCGTCCTGATTCGAAAACCATCAAATATATTTTGTCGAGAGAACAATTTAATATAGCAATGTAAATTACTATTAATTAACTGTCGACGCTGCTTGCATTTGATTGTTGATAATATTCCAAAACTGAATGCAGTATGCGATGTTCGCGTATTAAATTCTTCAAGTCAAAAATCAATACTCCAATTTGTCAGAGAATTTTGCAAAATCCCCTGATTATTTTCTATTTCGTTTATTTCAGAGAATTCTGCGGCAACCCTGATAATGTAAGTGAATAAAACTTTATCCAAATAACGAGACGAATAAAAATTTATTCAAAGAATGCATTGTTCCACGGAGAGGATCGAAAGTAGTCGGGGGAAAGGGAAACGGTGGAAGCAGAAAAGGCTAAAAGGTACAGCGAGAAAGGACTGAAGGAAGAAAGATGGCTGGGGGAGAGAAAGAGAGAGAAGAAGGAGAAAGGAGAGAAAGAGGCAGAGAAAGGGATCGAAGCGCACACACACACACACACACGCACACACACACAGTCATGGATCTTATAATAGTCAACCCGCGGAAAACACGTGACCGGAGCGAAATGTTATCGTAGGAGGCGGTGTTAGTTTTACCGTTTGTTAACCGCTAGCGCCTCGACGCTGGCGTCGCTATTTATAAGACGCCGTCGCGGTCGACGTACGTGTATCCGCGTTTGGAATTAAGGGAGGAGAAGTCCCGCGCGCTACGTGTGTGGCTCGAATCCCCGATACGGCCGATTGGCGTGCGCGCGATATAACGAAATGCACCGGCGAGATGCATCCGCGCAGCTGCGCGGAAGCGAGGCAGCCCCTCAGCCGATATGCCTCTCAATAGAGAGACGTGTGGTGCGCTTTTCATTCTCGCTTCGTTATGGAGTCCGCTTCGGAGCATCGTTGAACCCGTCAACGACGGGCATTATCGCGATCTCCCTTCGATACGACCCCGTCTCTCTCTCTCTCTCTCTCTCTCTGTCTGACAATATTACAGAGAATACGTTTATTATGAATCGAAGCGCGCGCACTGCAGCACGATTGCATCGTAATGAATACACGCGCGTCGATCGTGTATAATCATCACGTCTATCTATGCTTTTCATCCGTCGCATTTACAGGCTTCACGTGTATCTCGCCGAATCGTTATCTCGATCGTTTCATCACCGAATTGACTG